GGCAACAGTGCCCAGCACCTGATTCCAGGTGCCAAGGAGCCAGTTCAGTTCAACAGGGCTCAGCCCATCACAAGTGGAGACCTAAACTCGAAGGTTATAAGCTCCCCGATCGAGGTTATTACCGACCCTTGTAATCTGGAATACTTTATAATCACTAAGCTGTTGAACCGCCGCTAAGCCCGATGGTCCGAGTTCTTATCTCGGTTCAACTTTACGATTACCTACCGGCCTAGGAAACAAGGGGTAAAGCCAGACGCTCTGACTAGGGGGTTAGAAGACCTACCTAAAGAAGGGGATAAACGCCCATTGCACTAAAGCCAGACAGTCCTGAAGCGCTCGAATCTTGACCCTTAAATCAGCCAGTTACCCCTATCGGTCTAGGAACTACCCGCTAATTAGCCAGTTACCCCCCCTATCAGTCTAGGAACTACCTCTAAGAAGCGAGTTCGATTCATAGAAGAACCCCTATAGCTCAACGCCCTTACCCGATCCTAAGCCCCGTCGAGAATGGAAATCCCAGCTGGAGATACTTGCCCCGATGGAACTACTTCGCCCTGCTTTGCCACTTAAGAGAGATATACCGCTGCTGTCACCGTGTCACGGGTGGGCGCAACTGACCACTGCGTAACACCCTCAAAAGAGGGACAGTTTTTCGAACTGTCCAGTCGAACCAGGAGTTGCGCACATGAACCTCACACTGTCACTACCCGTGACACACCGGATATCAAAGAACTGTTCGCCAAGGGCTACGAAGTAGACGAAACGCCGAAGTCTATCCTAGAAGCACTGAGGAAGTTATACAGACGTCACCCGGGCATCATACTTGTAGAGTGCGAGGACCGAGGAGGATACCTATACTATCGAGACCGCCTATATATCCCGAACTACCCTGAGTTGCAAGCCGAACTGGTTCGTTTATACTACGAGAGCGCTATCGCTAGGCATATGAAGCGAGCGCTGATATACGAGGTCCTATCGCGCGATTACTACTGGCCTAGGATGCTCACCAATGTCGAACGCTGGGTAGCTGACTGCTATACCTATACCCAGATAACTGCTCCCTACGAAGCCCGCCAAGGAGTCTTAAGACCGGTGCCGATCTCCGAGAGAGCTGTTGGAAAGTCGTGGCAACTGGAACTTCGGACGCTCAGCTGCAAGTGCCCTGCTGTTGGATGCATGGCTGCCCAACTGAGCGTCAGGCAAAGTGAGGGGTAACCAGGGCGCTGGGCAACGAGGTCAGGGCGATTCCCCCTTCGCTGGAGACGTGAGAGAGGAACAACCTTCAATCAAGAACATCCGGGATGCTCCGAGTATCTCAAACCCACTGTTGTAAGCTCCCATCATCTGTGTGATCACCGTGGAATC